TAGGTGTGGTTCCTATTATAGCAAAGCAACGGGTCAGTCTGTCTGGGATGCAAACTGAAGTTTAGCGCGCTTTGGAGGCAATGTCCGGTCAAGAAGTCGATTTTGAGACTTTTTGTTTACCTGGGCCTCTTCGCTATGCTGAATTCGAAAATCCACACTGGAGAGCGCGAAGACAGCGAAAAAGGGCTAATTTCTAGCCTGGAACTGCCTTTAAAAGACACGTTTTTGTGTTTGATGTTGCATACCTGAAGTAGAAACCGGGAGTTGATAAAGTCCGCGCCCCGCATTCTTGAGTTGTGCGCAGGAATGAGAGGGCTGAGTATGCCAGTTTCCGATCTGTTATCTCCTTATTTTACGAAAAAAATTACAGAAGTTCATTTATGAATGGCTGCATGTCTGTACCATATGGTTGAGCAAAAGGGAGCTGGTATCTAACGGAAATCCGGTTGTCAAAATTTTCTTTTGCATAATTTGGGTTCGAGCAATCGACTATTAATTTGTGAGACAGAGCTTGCTCTGCCTCTATTGGATGCTGCTCTACATGCACTTCCTGGTGCCTATGCCAGCGTAGCCCTGAAAAAAAGGGCATTTTTTCAAAATCAATATCAAATTAGCTTACATCCCTAATATCGCTTTGCGACAAAACACAGTTGCTCGTCACTATTCGGAAAAGAAACGAATAATTTCTAATGTTGCTAGATATCACAAGCGGTTTCTGCGCGACCTCTTGTTGTGAACAACATTTCATTTGATTGTCAATCCCTTCGCAACCGGTGTGAAGTGATCGAGAAGTGACAAGTTCACAAATCATCCAGTTCTTCATTTGCTACATTGCAATTTGTTTATTAGCGCAGTATATGGATTATGTTTCACGTAAGCGTGTGAACCTTGGTCGAAACGTCTAATGACGTTCTTTGCACTTTTGGCGAGACGTAAGGTTCACTTTGCGCGTTCGTTGCTGGAAATAATATGAAAACTTTTGACACCGTTCAGCCAATCAGAGATTGATGAGATTCTGATCACAGAAGGGTCTCTACAAAGTTATTGCCTCAGTTCCCGCAGCAAAAGTATATTCGAATTGAAATTCTCTAACAGGTGGATGTTGCTGGGGTCGCCACGCCCATTAACATGGTACTCTAAGTAATGAGCGCGAATTAGACTCGATGATCTGTAGAAATGTAGTCCGCCTTTCCTTATGAAAACCATTCCAACATAAAGATGTTCTAGAGTAGAGTTTCGGGTCCATTATTTTGAGACCGCCCACTTGTGGGCGTGGCGACCCCAGCAGCATCCATCTCCTGGAGAGGCTTTCTTGATTCGAAATGCACCTTTTGCAGCGGGATTTGGGCGAGGCAAACTA